TGCAAAAACAAAACAAAGCGCACACTTAAACAAATTTCAGAAATTCTGCCATATAAAAACGGGCACCAGCCCAGTAGTCAAGGTTACAACACCAAAAAGGGCACGCATGCCCGATAAAGCAAACACTTGGAAAAAACAAAATATCAGGCACGCAGGCCCAGAGCTAATCTACGCCTCCTCCTCTTCCTCCACTTCAGGCTCGTCAGAGCGAGCATCGTGGCCAGCATCCTCAAGATTGGGGTCGACCACCCAACCATCTACTATCTCGTGGAAAGGCCCAATGCCATCCTCGACCAGGGCGACACCAGGGTTAACCACCTTAAGCTGTGCGACAGCGCCATTAAAACCAACCGCGAAGGCCTCCAAGCAGTCGCTCTCCAACACCTGGATCCTAGCGAGCAAGTCTGCCCGAGTGACCATCTGCTTGTCCTCTTTGGTCTCGTCCTCGGCAGGACGAAGGGCACTCTCCAGCTTCCCCACGTGAGCCTTCAATGCTCGCACGCTCTCTTCAGCAGCCTTCAACTTCTCCTCAGCACTGTCCCCCCTCTTGCGCTGGTCGACAACCTCCCCCTTGCTCTTCTCCATCTCCTCGGTAAGTTTGTTCAAGCGTGACTGCGCGAAGGTGAGGTCCCCTTGCAGCTTGGACAGCTCGGCAGCCGAGCAACTCTCATCACTCAAGACCATGGCAGTGGTGAAAGTCCGCATCAAAGCAGCCAAGTCCTCCGTCAAGACCTGTCGACGAGAAGCCCGGTTCGTGCCAAGTACCGTCTTCACTTCCTCAGCCAGGATGTTAGGCGACCTTGCCCCGTGGAAGTAACTGGGGTGCTGATGGCAGGGCGGGATTGAGAAACCCTCCTTAGCGGAGCCAACCTTCAAGTCGACCACGCTCTCCGTCTGCTGAACCCTAGGCCTCTTCGGGGGCCCCTGAGACGTGGGGGACTCACTGCTCTGAGGAGACGAGGAAGAACCCTTACACCCTGGTCTTCAGCAGCTACCTGAATCAAACGTGTATTCGCAACAACAACGGGCCTCGACGCATGCAACTTCTTTACCCTCTCTTCGACAGAAGACATGCTCCCTGCAAAACGAAAGAAATAAGTCAGTAACAGGCGAAAAAATGAGAAGTAAAGGGAAGAAAGAGCCGGCCACCACCTAAATAGCTAAGGGCTTCCTCCTCCGAGGAACACTCGAGCAGGGCCTTCGTATTGATCAACCTTGCCCTCTGACGGATATACCCCTGACTGTCGAGGATGTACCGACCATCAGGTGTCACTAGGTTCGACGGGGGGAGGCTGCGCACGAACGCAACTATCTTCAAATAGCTGGCCATGTCCTCATCGTTGAGGGACCCCGCACGCACGATGTACCGATCGGTACCCTTGGTGAAATGCTCGTCGGTCCACTCCACAGGAACTTTCGGCAACATGACGGCTTCCTTCCGGCCATTCACTACTCGCTCCCCCTCCTCGTACAATGAGTCAACCCCTGCGAGGGTGATCGGGCTGACGACGAAGAAGCGCCCCTTGAAATCTCGAATAGAATCCATGTACGTCTTGAAAAGCTTGTTCGGTTATTTGAATGAAACCCAACCATGCCGACCATTCATCGTCTGCCGTTACAGATGGAAGAGGCGGAAGAACAGCGGCAACGTGGCCCCGACCTCTAGGAAACGGCAAACGATCTCGAACGCTCGAACAAAGGCTACGGTGTTCGGATGCAACTGCGAGGGGGCCAACCGCATCCAGTCGAAGAGCCCTAGATGAAAATCCGAAAACGGAAATCTGAGCCTGGCCTTCCGAAAGTAGAACTCATACATGGGGAACCGCATCCTCCCATACTTCGAGCATATACAGTGGTGTTCTCGAGGCCGGTAGACCTACCAGTTCTGGAGATCATCTTCGCCCTATCCTCCACGGTGGCGTAAGCTCCAACCGGATCACTAGCGAAATACGAGGGCGTGGATAAAGGCGCGTCGGCCACCCACTCCTCGATAGAGCGGACGCGTTTGTCGGCGAGAGAAACGCCTGACTCTTCATCCGCGACCATAGTCCCCGGGGTCCACGAAGACATGAACACCTGAAAAGCAGAAGGTAACGGTGAATTCGATGACAAAGATCAAATTCACCCTTCCACCGCGAGTCAAGTGAAAGGGCGGCGAGGACAGCCCCGTGAGCAACGATCGAAAAGCACCCGGGCATCCTCCTCGGGGGCTCATTCCTAATCCTCTCTTCTCCCCGAGACACCTATCCGCCTAAGCTACTCACTCCCCCCGGGACGTTCAACCATCCTATCGTCTCTCCCCTGGACATTCATTGGAGTAAGTGTTTGTCCCCAAGAGCTTCAACCGTTCCTTCGCGCGTCCTCGACGCCTTCATCTAAAAACCCTATAAAACACTGCATATAGCGGCGAAGGCGCACCTCTCTCCTCGAGGCATTCAACACACCCCGACCCCAGTTTCGAAACAGACAAGAAAAACAAGAGAAAGGAGAAGAAAAACTTACTAGGTTGCGATTAACGACGGAGTACGCGACGGCAGTCACGGCGGAGATGTCTAACGGAAGCGGAGCAGCAGATCCTCGTGTTTGAAAGCAAGTAAGACGAAAGTGAAAAATGGACGGGGACTCACCTACTTATACCCCAACACGGGACTCGAAGCGTCACTAGACACTCGAGTACCCTAGGGTAGGCGCCCTCATGGCCATCCAACGAATGACACGTGGTGAAAGCTGATAGTCGCGTCCCCTCACATCTCTCCGCCAACACGTGCCTTCAAACCCCAGACACCCGATGTCGAGGAAAGACTCACACGCACGCGTCTCCGTGGAGTACGAGCCGACAGATTCTCTCCTCGTGCTGACCTCTCCCCCCGGCACGACATCATCAAGTCCTCGCTCCCTCCCACGGAGCTACGACTTAGGGGGCTCATGTTCTAGCCTGGGCCCCGACTTGACCGGGCAGGCCCAACCCAATGATATTCTGTTAAGCCCAATCCAGCTTGGGCTACATCCGTCAAGCACAGGTTTCCCGCCAGGCAGACAATGGTCCTTCCGTGGGCAGAACCTTCTCCCTTGTCGAGCAAAACACGTGTCCTTCACACGTGCTCCACATGCTCCCATCTGCGGGGACACGTCACCAACCAACTGCCCACCTCCGAAAGAGCAGGTCAAACCCACTTTCCGGAGATCACGAGACAATTGAACTAGGGCAAAGACCACGTCCTGGTCTTCACTACGCCACGTAAGCCCTAACAGTCACTTGGGTTGGGCCTGGCCATCCAGCCCAACTCAAATGACTGTTGGCCTTACGCTGGGGTCTCTCTATAAATACCCTCTTTCACTAGAGGGTCAGGGATTCAATTCTTACCCTTTTTCTGTATTTGCTGTCACTCTGTCCAAACACTTACTTTGTCATCGGAGTGCCTTGCAGGTACACCCCTCATCTCCTTTTCACAACACCGGTGAACAGACAGTAGATCAACGGCGTGTGGCAAATCCTTGATCCCCTTCTGATCTGATCAGATCAATAATTAAAACTTTAAATAATATATTTATGGTTGAAATATTAAATAGTTGAAATATTTAATAAAATAATTATTTAATAAACTAAATAGTTGAAATAAAATAAATATTTAATAGACTAAATATTAAACATTTAATAAAATAATTATTAATATACTAAATATTTAATATACTAAATATTTAATATTTAATATTTAATAAATTAACTATTAATAGAATAAATATTTAATAGAATAAATATTTAATAGAATAAATATTTAAAAGACTAAATGTTTAAAATTTAATAAAATAATCATTTATAGAGTAAATATTTAATGGACTAAATATTTAATATTTAATAAAATAATTATTAATAGACTAAAATTAATATTTAATAAAATAATTATTTAATAGAATAAATATTTAATAAATTAAATAGTTGAAATATTAATAACTGAAACATTCATATTTGAAAAATTTAGTAATTAAAATAATATGACATAATTAATTAATATATAATAGTTGAAATAATTTATAAACTATATAATAATATTAATATTATTTCATAATATCAATGAAAATAAAAATAAAATATAATATTAAATAATTTTTAAATAATATGAAATAAAAATTAGTTAGTTAAGCAGTTATTTCAACCATAAATATTAATATGAAATAAAAATTAGTTTATTAAATAATACAAAATATTAATATTATTTAATGTTTCAATCATAAATAAATTCTGAAGTACTTAATGTAATATTAAATAATATATAGTTGAAATAAATTAATTTATCATTAGTAGTTGAAATGTTAAGTAATTTATTAAATACTAAATCATTTAGAACATCTTTAATGCAGATTTTTAATAGTCAAATTTTTTATAGTTAAAGATGATTATAAAGAATTTGCATTAGAATGACTATGACATGACATTTAATACACTAACTTTTAGCTTCTCACAATTATATAACTAACTTATGCTATTTATTTTGAAATATATAATATTATTATTTATATTATTGAAAAAAGTTATTACAATTAAATAATATAAAATATAGGGTCAAGTTTTGGTTTTTTATAAATAATTATTATTAAAGTAAAAACAACTCAAATCAACTATAAATTTTTAAAATTCTACAAATCACTTTGGGCCCACAAAAAAATCTTAATTTATCCACTTAAGATACTTTATGAAATATTTATTTTTGTTGCAATATTGTTATCTAATGGAATGGTTGACCTAGTAGAAAGATAATGATTTGTAAGTACAAAGGACATGGAATCAATTCCTTTTAGATCAATTTTTTAAACTAAAAAAAAGATTTAAAGGACCAAAACAAAAAAGTCACCAACTTATAAGACTATTTAAACTTATTTTAATTTTTGAGTCAATTCTACCAATAACTCATGTCATATTTAATAAAAAGTTGCATTTATTGGATTAGTTTTATATATAACTCATTACATTTTATAATAACATCATGAATATTAATTTAAACTCAGTCACCACCGGCCTCTCCACCTGCACCACCTCCAAAACCACCACCCGCGCCTCCGCCATGACCACCTCCAAAGCCGCCTCCCACACCTGCTCCAAAACCTCCGCCTGCACCTCCACCAGATCCACCTCCAAATCCTCCGCCTGCACCTCCGCCAGATCCACCACCTCCACCAATGCCTCCCCCTGCACCACCACCATGTCCACCTCCAAAGCCACCTCCAACCCCTCCACCTGCTCCAGAACCACCTCCAACCCCTCCACCTGCTCCAGAACCACCTCCAATGCCTCCTCCGCTACCTCCTCCTCCACCTATACCACCGCCACCGCCATTTCCTCCTCCTACACCACCACCATTACCACCTCCAAAGCCTCCACCTGCACCACCACCATGTCCACCACCAATTCCTCCTCCTACACCACCACCACTACCACCTCCGAAGCCTCCACCTGCACCACTACCTCCACCTAATCCACCACCATGTCCACCACCAAATCCTCCTCCTGCACCACCACCACTACCACTACCTCCACCTAATCCACCACCATGTCCACCACCAATTCCTCCTTCTGCACTACCACCACTACCACCACCAATTCCTCCTCCTGCACCACTACCACCACCACTACCTCCACCTAATCCACCACCATGTCCACCACCGATTCCTCCTCCTGCACCACCACCACTACCACCACCAATTCCTCCTCCTACACCACCACCACTACCACTACCTCCACCTAATCCACCACCACTACCACCACCAATTCCTCCTCCTGCACCACCACCTCCACCTAATCCACCACCATGTCCACCACCAATTCCTCCACCAGCACCACCACCTCCACCTGCACCACCACCATGTCCACCACCAAATCCTCCTCCTGCACCACCACCACTACCACCTCCGAAGCCTCCACCTGCACCACCACCTCCACCCAACCCACCACCATGTCCACCACCTATTCCTCCTCCTACACCACCACCATGACCACCTCCAAAGCCTCCACCTGCACCACCACCATGACCACCTCCAATTCCTCCTCCACCACCACTACCACCTCCAGCACCGCCTCCAAAACCACGACCAACTCCAACACCTCCACCGTGTCCAAATCCTCCTCCAAGACCTCCACCACTACCACCCCCAAAACCTCCACCTAAACCACCTCCACTGAAAGTGTCAATAGATTCTTCTTTTTTTAGTGTTCGGCATTCAAATGTTCCTATCACCAATGCAAATATAAAAGCAAGTACTGCAACATACTTGTGTAAATTTCCCATCTTAATAAAACAGAAAATTGTAGTAGAGCCGTAAAAACTTGCTTTGCTCTTGTAATGAGAAAGCTAGGCAACTGGAGTTCTATTTATAGGAACACATACCATTAATACACAAAGACTTGGGGACATCTCTCATGTACTGTAGCTCTTCTGACTAACTAACATGGCCTAGATTTCAAACTTGTTTGAAAACAATCTAATGGCTGGTATATTCATAATTGCCATATCCCCAACCATCAACAACCTTATTCTTTTTCATAAACAATATATTATCACACTGTTAAATAAGTGTAAAGGAATAGAGAAATAAAAAGCAAAGAGATCTGATAAACTAAAAAACAGAAATAAATATAGAGAAGAGGCTAAAAAGTGATGTGTAAAAAAGAATAGACTTGTGAAAATGTTAATGTTTTGCCAAGTGCAAGTGCTAAATAATTTTTTATTTTATTTAAAAGACGTTTTTTAACTTATATAAAAGTAAACTTTATATTTTCACATTGGTAAAATAGTTTCCAAAACTAAATAAAACAAGGCCATGATATATTGACTAAATAAAGGATATATATATAAGCATTAATTAGCTTCTTTTTATTTTCAGTTTCTAAGTAAACTCTGTAGCTATCAAAACAGTGATTGCATTAATGAATCGATGAAGAAACTCACCTTTATAACTGGCAAGAGTGTACCCACCATGTATATAATTGTTAGCCTAAAACCGTGTATGTAATGTGATCGGGTAGAATATCAGCTATCAAAGTCGGTGGCAAAATTAATAATATAGTATTCCATATTGGAATACAAGTAAATGAAGAGTTATATATATATATATATATATATATATATATATATATATATATATATATATATATATATATATATATATATATATATATATATATATATATATATATATATATATATATATATATATATATATATATATATATATATATATATATATATATATATATATATATATATATATATATATATATATATATAATTTCGTAGGGATGATAAGATGGGTTAGATTCATCTGTTTGTTTGTCCGCTAAATTTATTATTTTTAGTGGGTCGAAGTCAGGAATGGAGTTAGAAATTAAGCATTATATTATATATACAATTTTTCATATTTAAAAATTTTAACAACTTTTCAAAATATAAATATACATCACAATTACTTTATAAAAATTTCATATTTAAAAATAATTAACATCTTTTCTATATTTAAAAGCAATTAAAAATAAAAATAAAAATTATTTAAAAGTAGAGAAAATATAATATACATTAATAGTGTAAATTAATTTTATATTATCAGTCAATATATGACAATTGTATATCTTATTAAATCAGAAAAATATTTTTATATTATTAAAATCTATTATTAATATGATAAGATAGAGTGGTAAATTTCAAATGGGATAAAATAAAATTGTTTTATATTAATTAAACTCTTAAAAATAACTGACAATTTTTTTGGTTCATGTATATATGTGCCACTATAACATGTGTGTAAATTTGATTCAATTCAATTTTGTTTAAACTTTTAAAATTACATGTTTTAAATCTAATTGTACATTTAAAATGATTTTGACATCAGTTAAATATGTATATAATTAAGGTTGTGGCATTGTTACGTTACGTGTCTACTAATGAAGGTTAGAACTCTATGGGAGCACCCCTACCCATGATATATGAAACCAATTTTAAATGAACTATTTATATAATAGTATCATATGATATATTAGTATGATATATAGTATTATATAATGGGGTATATAATTTAAAAGTTAGTGGGGACATGGCCCACACTTCAGTGTGAATAGCTCCGTCTATGGTCGGAGGTGAGGTTTTTGATTCGGTAACTTAAGCTGGTCCGTTCTGCCTAACTCACTTTTAAAACGAGTTGAGGGTGGGTGGGGAGGGTTTTACCCACGGTCTTTTTGTTAAAAAAAAATTTTTTTATTTGAAATTAAAACAATATTAATGTGGTCTATAGTACACATACTTTTAAAACAACCATCGTTTCTTCAAACCCTAATGTTCATTTTTCACATAACCACAAACACCTCATTTAGAAGACATTAATTGGTCATTGCTTCTTTATTTATTTTCACTCATAGTAGAAAAAGTCTTTATTGCAAAACATAGAGAATACGTTCTTTTCTATTTTCTATTACTCGTTGTCATTGGAGTCAGGTTCTAAAGTTATAAGGTAAGTTTTGCACATAGGAGTTTGTTTCTCATTATGATAATAAATTTTTGATTTGTATTTTATTCTATTTGAGTTCTCATTTTATTTATTTTTTGACACTAAAATATTCAACTAAGTGTTTTTGTATTGATAATTTTTAAATAATGAAGCTTTAATTTTTCTTAGGTTGTTTTATTTTTTAGATGCTTTCATTATTAAATATTGATAAATCTACTTAGTTGTCTTTGTTTAACCTGTGCTAGTTTGTTTTCTTGATTTGTGTTCCTAGGTGGCCTTAACTAAGTTATGTTTGTTGATTTTTTGAACCAAAAGAATTATTTTGGGATTTTAGTGTGTTTTTTTAATAATGTTTTTGGTATTATAATTACATTTTTTGTTTATGTTGAAGAATATGACATTTACATTAAGACTTGTTAAATTTTTACTATGCGTTGTTAAAATTTGTCGGTCTCTTTAGTAATGATTAATAATTTTATAAATTATGTAGTAAATCAAATTGTATAATAAAAATTTGGCGGGTTGGCGGGCCGACTTTTGACACCTAAGTTAGTAAATGGGGCGGACTTGACTTTTGAGGTCAGACACCTAAGTTGGCCCACCCCGCTTTTGGATGGGCTTAAATGGGACGAGACTAAATGGAACGGGCCGCCCGCTTTGCCACCCCTAGTATTTCGTGTTGGAACAAAAGCATATGAAATGTTGAAGATAACCATGGTAGTGATGTTTTTGGTATGGTGATTATGGTTCTACAATGAATTAGATAATTATTTATAAAAAGTTAAACTTTTTTCAACGCTCAAGTGTATAATTAAATGAGGTGTAATTTTAAAAATATGAAAAGAATATTGTATGTTATTGAATAAGGTGTAAATTTGAAATTTTATAAAAAGAATATTCAGGCATGATTAAATATCACATTTATATTGAGGAGACAATTATAATAATTCCCACTTTTCCAATGTGTTGTGTAGACGACCGTTGGAAGTGGATCATCGGTCAAGACGAAGAAGATGTCGTGGTCCTACACTATAAGGAAAATTTTCATTATCTAGTATAAAAAAATCCTTTGTAATTTAATATATATTAATTTGGTGGGCGGCAGACCCAAAATGCCAACCCAAACAACCTTTTTTTGGCTGGTGCGCGAGCCTGTCCGACAAACCACGATTTGTTTTGCCATCATATATATATATATATATATATATATATATATATATATATATATATATATATATATATATATATATATATATATATATATATATATATATATATATATATATATATATATATATATATATATATATATATATATATATATATATATATATATATATATATAAAATGAGAATGAATAAGTTATATGAGAATGTGAGCATGAATAATAACCCGTCGATTTAAAAGAAAAGTTTGAGATTAAATCATATCTTTCATTGAATCATGTGCCAAAAATCTATATCTTTCATTGAATCATGTGCCAAAAATCTAAAAAAATCAGGCGCTTTTAAGAGAAGTGAGAAATTAATAATCAATTTTAGAAATATATTTTAATTCAATGGCCCAAATTCATTCTTATATTCTCATATAAAGATAGCATTCTCATATGTTATATATATATATATATATATATATATATATATATATATATATATATATATATATATATATATATATATATATATATATATATATATATATATATATATATATATATATATATATATATATATATATATATATATATATATATATATATATATATATATATATATATATATATATATATATATATATATATATATATATATATATATATAGACACATACAGGGGTGGCAAAACAGATCGTCCGCCCCGCCCCGCCTTAAGCCCGCAATAAGACAGGCCAGACAAGCCCTCCAAGTGAAAATTGCCATAAAATCTAGCTCGCCCCGCCAAGGTGGCGGGTTGGCGGGCGGCGGCCTTGCCCGCCTACTTTTTAATTTATTCTTTTTATTTTTTTAATAGATTAAATTAGATTTTTCATTTATTATTTAGAATGATTTTTATAAAGCTTCATTTTAACAAATTTTACTTCAAAAAATATTGCATATATTCTCAAATAAATGTATAAAATAAAACCATCAAGAATTGAAATTACTAGAATTAACTAAAAAAAGGATGTGTTTAAGACGGGACAAGCTGAAAGAATAGGTTCGGCGGATTTTGGCGGGTGGTGGTCTTTTGCTACCTATCCCGCTATTCTTTTGCGCGTGCACGAGCCATCCCGGCGGGTCACGACCTGTTTTTCCACCCTTACATACACAAGACTTTTATGATGTATGATAGATATAGTAGTACAACAATACACAATGGAAACTTATAACTACCATATGTAACAAGTGTAACCACTTTTAACAAACTAAAAACCTCTAACTAATTTGTGAATGATAGCTTGAGGAACAAGTTAGTCATCTCTAACTTGTTCATGGTGTAATAATAACGACTACTACGACCATGTAAGTCTAATATATTGTATGCGTCTGAGCTTTCACAAGTGGCTGCGGCGAGGGCACGATATTCAACCTCAGATGATGATCGTGACACTGTGAGTTATTTCTTCGTGTGCCATGAAATGAGAGACTTGTTAGAACACAGATTGATTCTTAATAATATCTCTATGTTTTGATGATAACTATTATGAAATTTTGTAATTAAGAATTATATACTCTAAAATTTGCTTGAGAGTGTTTACTGCAGATATCAAAATAATTATCACTCCAAAAGCAAATCAGAACTGAACATAAGAAA